AATGTTAAAGCAGCTTTGGCCAGTGATCCCCTATGGGCCCCCTCCGGCCTGCGAGCAGCAGCCCCTGACCCAGACCGAAGGGAAACGATGTCGTTGTTGTCTTCGTCGTTGTCTTCGTCGTTGTTGTCTTCGTCGTCGTTGTCTTCGTCGTCGTTGTTTTCGTCGTCGTCCCCCTTCAGGGTCGGCGGCACCGGCCGTAAGGCGTTCGCAATAGGAGAGGGGAGAAGGTCTGCGGGGTCGGTGTAAGCGTACATGAGACCAGACACTCGGTTGTCAGAAAGTAAAGCGAAATCGCCGTTTTCTGGAAACATGAAATGCGACGGGAATTAGGTTGCGAGGAATTTCCACGCGAGATCGCCATTTTCTGGCGGCCTGCAAAACGACCAGAATGAGGAAGTCCCACGGGAATTCGACACTTTCAGATGGCATGGCAGAATGTCTGGTCGCCCTGGAAGGCGACAGGAAAATTTGTCTGAGGAAGTCGTGTGCGGAATCTCGAAGCCCCATTCAGCCCTCAGAACAAGAAGGGAGAGGATGGAGACACCGGAAAATCCCGAAAATCGACAGCGAATCCAACGTTGCCATGGGGCCCCGCTGCACAACGGGAGGCAACACATGTCTGCCTCGGACCCCGCGGTCTCCACTTTTGAATCCAAGGGGTTGTAAGACTGTGCTTGTTTCTTTACAACAAATAAAAAATCATGGGCCACGGAATGGCCCTCTGAAGGGTGGCCCCGCGAAAGCTGGAACGAAGATGGGGAACAGAGGCCGATCAAAGGACAAAAGTGACGAAAGCAGGAGCCGGAGTTGTAGATTGGATCACAAGGAGGTTGGAGATGCGCATGGACGCCAGGGACGATTCGATGGACAGGACAGGCAGCAGCAAGAATGAAAGCACAGGTTGATCCCATTGCTCCAATCTCCCCTCCTCCTCCTCCTCCTCCTCCTCCTCCTCCTCCTCCTCCTCCTCCTCCTCCTCCTCCTCCTCCTCCTCCTCTTTCTTCTCCTCCTCCTCCTCCTCCTCCTGCAAATACAAAGAAAAGTCGGTGCACCTAGCCTCCACTATGGACTTCGCCACGCAGTAGACGCCCCAGGACACTATGGATACCTCCACGCAGACGACGACCCGGTAGCCCAGCTGCACGAGCCCCGCCCCGGCGCAAGCTCCCCGGCTAGGCCGCTCCTGCCGCTCGCAGCTCGGCCGCCCTGCCGGCGCCGTCAGCGCCGAGGGCGGTGCGGAGCTGCCGGGCGGTGGCCCTGTGGAGGGCCACGCTGAGCTCCCGGCCCCAGCGGCTCGCCAGCGCGCTCGCGGCGGCCGGCGCGGCTTCCTCGCCGAGGAGGGCCGCCTCCCCGCGGGCGAGCTCCCGGAGGTGCTGGAGGGCGGCGCGCCCGTGCCGGCCGCCCGTCTCCAGGGCGAGGGGCAGCATGCCCCATGGCGCGCGGCCAGGCGGGTAGCGCCGGTGCTTGTCGGCTTCCGCCTCAGCGTTCACCGCGCCGTCGCGCCCTGCCGCGGCGGCAAGGGCGCGCTCGTCACCCGGCACGCAGTAGCGTACGGTGACGTCGAGGAACAGGCGGGGCCGGTCCGCCCGCTGAACCTCGAGGTCGAGGATCGCCTCCTCGCGCTCCGCCTGCAGCGCGGTCCCGCAGGTGCCGCAGGGCGCCGCCGGCTGCTCCGGCGCGTGGCCGCCAGTGTCGCAGGTCGGGCAGCGCCAGCGCCAGCGGTCCCAAGCTGGGACGTGCGTCTGGTGCTCCACCCGGAAGCCGCACTCCGCGTGAATGCGGCTCCAGGCGCGCTCCAGGTCCCCGCTGCGCGCTTTGAGGCCGCCTCCGCGGGCGCAGCGCCAGGCGTGGCGCGCCCGGTCGCCGAGCGGCTCGCCGCAGTGCTGCCCGGCGCGCTGCCCGGTCCGCGCGCGGTTGCAGCAGGTCGCGCCAGGGGGGGCAGCGGCCTGGCCGAGCAGCGTGCGCGCCGTGCTGCAGTAGTCGGCGTCGTCGAGCCGCTGGGCGTCCAGGCCCGGCGAGGCCGTCTGCCAGGCGCCTGCGTGCGGCCCGCCGCAGGAGCGGAAGAGCGCCTTCGCCTCCGGCTCCAGGGTCCTCAGCAAGGTGTCGTGGTTTTTGTGGTCGATCCTTGCGGTGAGGGCCTTTTGGAGCTTTCGCTGCGGCGTCTCCGCCAGCGTCTGCCAGGCGGGAAGTTCGGCCGGCTCCGCGCCCGGGCGAGGCGGCGGCGGCGGCAGCTGCGCGAGCCCGGCCAGCGCGGCGCGGCAGGCGTGAGCGAGGGGCAGGGGGCAGGTGTCGAGGTTGGCCAGGCAGGCGAGCCCCGTGCGTTCCCTCACCCCGCTCAGGTTCTGCGCCCAGGAGCCAGCCCAGGCCGCCGGCGCCAGCTGCCGCTGGCTGCGGAAGCCGCGCCCGCCGAGCCGCAGCGGCAGCCGGCACTGGGTCTGCTCCGGCTCTGTCAGAGGGTCCAGGCGTGCCAGCTCCGTGTAAGCCGCCAGCAGGGCGTCGTCGTAGGCCCCGGCGGCGGCCTCCGAGGTCGTCGGCGCGTTCGTGCGGAGGAGGTGCGTCAGCTTGCTGGCCCCGGTGTGCCGGAGCAGCAGCCCGGCGGTCTGCCGCGCTGGCAGGTGCGGCGAGGCCGCCGCAGGGAGTTCCGCCAGCTTGGCGAGTAGCTCGGCCGCCCGCCCCGCCGTCTCAGCGCAGCGCTCCGCCGCGTAGTCCTCCCCGCCGAGGTCCACCCGGCGCGCGTCGCTCTCGTCCGGGAGGCCTCCGGGGGGCAGCGGCCCTCCCAGGGGGACCCCCACCAGGGTGAGGCCCCGCGCGCGCCACTGCTCCTCCAGCCCCGGAGGGCAGGCCGCCCCGGCGGACCAGGCCTGCGTCTTCCTCGGTTCCAGCTCGAGGCCCAGGCCGCCAAGGGCCCTCTGCGCCGCCGCCTGCACCCTGCCCCCGAGCGCCGAGGGCACCAGAACGACGACATCATCCAAGTAGGCAAGGACGTGCACGTCGTCTGGGTTCAGCCCCTGCTGCCGAGCCGCCTCTTTCAGGTCGTTCTCCAGCGCGGGCAAATGCGGGCGCAGCCCGCAGGCGAAAAGCAGCGGCGCCAGCGGGTCGCCCTGGTCTACTCCGCTGGTGGAGCGCAGGCGGTGGCAAACCCCGGCCGCGTCCCAGAAGTAATACAGGGACTCCCGGCGGCAAAAGAGGTTCGCGTAGGGCAAGAGCGCCGGCGCCACCTCCTCCAAGCCGCGGAGGCAGGCCTCCCGGTGGGCGGAGCAGTAGGCGTTCTTGGCGTCGAGCGCCACCAGCACAAGGTCGGGGTTGGCCTCCGCCAGAGCCCTCGCCGTGTGCGCTAGCAGCTCCGTGCCCGCAGCAGTGCCCACGGCAAACTGCTGCCTCCCAAGGGCCTCAGCCAGTTCCTCCTTTCGGGGGGTGACCAGCGCCCGGCCCACCAGCCGCCGCAAGATATTCGGCGCGGCGATGGGCCGGACCCCCCCGCCTGGCTTGCGCAGTGGTGTGAGCTTGGCCAGAGCCAGAGCGGCGGCGGCGCTGGCGGGGACCCGCCCCTCGGCCACCCGGTCACACACGCCGTAGAAGGCGGCCAGGGCCGTCGGCTGGGCCAGCACAACCCGCCAGTGTTCAAAGCGCCCGCCGCCAGCCGCCGCGCCGCTGCCCCGGGGGCTCGCCTGCAGCGTTTTCTTCAAGGCCCTGTGCGAGAGCGCGGGCGGCCCGGCGGGCGGCGCCGCCGCCGGGGGCAGCGCGGCGGCGGGGCGCGGCTGGAGGAGCGCCTGCAGCTGGGCCGCCGAGTCGGGCGTGAGAGGCGCGAGGCCAGGGCTGCAAAGCAGAGCGGCGGCTCGGGAGTACTCCTCCGCCATCCCCTTGCGAATGACCTCGTCGGCCACGGAGCGTTCGTCGCGGTCCCCTCCGCCAGCCTGCCGGCGCGCCTTGGCCAGTCCCCGGGCTGCGTTTTGGGCCGCCTCCAGAAGCGCCCCCCAGTCGCCGCGGAGCAGCACGGAGCAGCGCTCGCGCACCAGCAGCGCGCGGTCCAGGGTCTCCGCCGCCCCGCGCTGCCGGCTCCTCGCGTCCAGTCGCAGCGGGGCTGCAAAAAGCAAGCGCTCCCGCAGTGCGAGCAGCTTCCAAGCGCGTTCCTCCTCGGCGCTCCCAGCCGGGGCGCGGAGGATTGCGTTGCAGAGCTCCTCCGTGGCCTGCCCGGCCGCTGCCCTCGCGTGCCGCGGGACGGCCCGCAGCGTGGGGCAGTCGAGTGCGAATACCTCCAGCAGGTCGAGGCTGTCCAGCCCTTCCCAGCAAGCAGCAGAGAGGTCTCGCAGGGCCAGAGCCGGGGCGGCGCCGGCCGGCGGCGCGTCTGCTGGCGGGGGCGGAGCGCGCAAGTCGCCAGGCGCCGCGGCCGAGGGTGCCGCGCCCGCCGAGGCCGCCGCCGCGGGCGCCGCGCCCCCTCGGGCCGCCGCGGCCGGCGGGGCGTCCAGCGTGCAGTGCCGGCAAAGGCGGGTGTCGCAGCCGCCGCAGTAGCGAAGCCAGCCGCCGGCGCCAGCCCTGTCGCACACCGAGCATCGGTCCCCCGCCTCTGCTCGGTAGGAGCCCGCCTCCGTGCGGCAGGCCGGGCAAGTCGGCCCGGGGTTGCTCGCTTCCCCCACGCGGACGCCGGCGTAGCCGCACCGACGCCTCAGTAGGGAGCGTGTCGGTCCTCCTCCTCCTCCTCCTCCTCCTCCTCCTCTTTCTTCTCCTCCTCCTCTTTCTCCTCCTCCTCCTCCGACAACGACGACGACGACCATCCTCATTTTATCACTCGCTCCTCTCCCTCCTCCCCTCCTGTTTCTATGTTTTCCTCACCATGTGTCCCTCCTTCCCATATTCCTCGTCCCTCTTCCTCCTCCGCCTCCTCCTCCTCCACCCTCCTTCTCCTCCTTTTCCTCCTCCTCCTACTCCTCCTCCTCCTCCTCCTCTTCCATCCTCCTCCTCCTCCTCTTCCACTCCCTCCCCTGAGCGGAATGCCGAGGGGCCTGTTGAAGTTCCCGAGCACGACGGACTCTCCTCGGGGGGGGGGAGCGGAGGGGACGTGGAGGCGGAGGACGAGGAGAAATGACGAGGGGGAGTGACCAAGACTGAAACGCGGAAACGTCATGTCCATCTTGGTCACCGTCGATCTTGGTCCGCGTCAATTCGTGGATCATTCTCGCGAATTGGCGACGGCCGACATGGACCATGACCAAGATCGGCATCGATAAGATCCCGCGACATCTTGGTCATGGTTCCCGAGCTTCTTCCCTCGAAAAGAGGCAGGAGTAGGGAGGACGACCAGGAGCAGCAGCAGCCATATCCTCTTTCCACGACAAGACAGCTTCTTCTGGTAGGAATTCGTCCGCATCATCAGTCAACAGCTCTTCACACAACAATCACGAGAATGAGGGGAGGGACCTGGAGGAGAAGGACGACGACGGCGGACGTGACGACGACAACGACAGACTCCTCTCGGGGGGTGGGTCGCGGAGGGCAAGTCGCAGTCGTCCCGCACACCCACACACACACACATACACACACACACACATACACGCACACACACACACACACACACACACACACACACACACACACACACACACACACACAACACACACACACACACATATACACTCCTGCCTCCAGCGCGCCGATGAGAGGCAATCGACGGTCAACTAAATACAACAAAAGGTGGGACACGCTCAAAACAAATAACCCCCTTGCGTAGCTAGCAAAGCTATGAGTTCCATAGAAAGCCGACTGCCTGGCGCCTGGCAGCAAAGATCATGCGCGTGCGGGCAAAAAGGGTAAGAACTGGGTAGACCAAAAGGTACACTCTCCCAGGGTGCGTTCTGACCAGAACTTCGAGGCGAATCCAGCGTTGTCGACGAGGGCCTCCGAGGAGGCCCAAAAAGGGAAAACTGGCGAAGGGTAGCGGTATGGGTACCTCTTCCTCCTCTGAGGAGCAGCACAAGCAGAACGGAAACACACTTACTTGGCGTCGCGGCCACCCTCGCAGCAGCGCGGCCAAGTCAGGCTATAGCGTCGAGAGCGGAAGGGGGCGCGCGGGCGGGCCCCGCTCGCGGCAACCGCGCAGCATGACTCGTCGAGTGGCAGCCGCGAGGGAGGGACGAGAGGGGGGGCCGACGGAGGGGTGCGGAAGCGAGGTAGGGGCAAATAGTGCGGTGGGCTCGAGCGCACCCGGTGGGCAGTGGCTGACCCGCAAAGGGTAGGCAACTACGGCGCAGTGGTACAATGGGCAGGAGACCAAACAAGGCCAAGGAGGGGGGGAAGCGAAGTAGAGAGTAAAGAGGACGAAAACACACACACACACACACACAAACAAACACACCCACACGCACACACACACACACACACAGACACACACACACACACACACACACACACACACACACACGCACAGACACACACGCGCACACGCGTTCTTCTGGCGCGCCGATGGATTGCAATCGACGGTTCAAGCACTACAAAAGCGGGCTGCACTCAAAGAAAATTCACCACCCCCGAGTTATGTGGGAGCGAAGCAGCATCTGTGGGCCCCAGACAAAGTCGAGCGTCGCCGATCGCTGGGCAGAGACGACCGGGCGCGTGCAGGATAGCCAAGAAGCAAGCGGTAAAACGAGGTCAGAAACGCAAGCCAGGGAGGGAGGGGTGGAGGAAGGCGAGGAAACTGGACAGTAGGCCGAAGTGAGCGCCGAAACCAGCGAGGGACCTGGCTAGCGAGCGGCATGGCGAAAGTGAGACCCACAGCGAACTGGAAGCGTACTCAAAGAGGGCAGCAAGCGGCAGCATAAATCTGCGAGCAAAGACACGACAGGTACTCGGATACCCTGGCGGCATCTGGGCACACGCAGATTGAGCCACTGCTGTGGTCGAGACACCTAAGGCGAAGACACCTGGCGAAGAGAAGACGCCAGCAGTGCGGGGCAGAGGACTGCCGAATCGAAGTGGGAGCCCGCACAGCGTGGGTGAGCCGAAACGAAATGGGAACCTACGCAGCTAAGGTGTACCCCGCAACCCGCAAGCCACCTGTACGGCGAGCGGAGAGGTGTGAGAGGCGCGAATGACGAAGGAGAGCCACCAGCGGACGGCCCGGCAGCACAAGTGCGTGCAGGGCGGTGGGGTAAACCATCCGCGCTTTAAGCGTGGAGGGCGGCCATCCTTCCAGAACGGAGTTCCCGCCTGAATTGCGGGCCCATGGGGCGCTCCTCTCTGCGCTTCGCGCAATGAAAAAGTATGCCTGCAGGGAACCCGAGACAGGAAAGCGTATTGCAGCGTCGTTGCTACATCTTGGGTTTACTTTGGCCCTCCTCCTCCCCCTCCTCCCCCCCGCGGCCCCGATCTCCGGAGGGGTTGAAGGCCGCCACCGTGAACTCCTTGACCTTCGCATCGGAGCTGTAGTCGAACGTCTGGCCCTCTCTGCCCTCGGCGTCCCAGAACCGCACCTCTCGGGCGGGCTGGGCACCGGGAGGGGGTGCAGACACTGACACGGACACGTTACGTGTTCGACCATGGGCCCCTTGTTACCCATCGCTCCTGGGCCGTTTTCGGCGGTTTTCGGCGGTCTTCGGCGGTCCTCCGACGGTCTCCGGCAGTTTCAGGCGGTCTTTAGCGGTTTCCAGCGGTCTTCGGCGCGAAAGCTGGATGGTTGTGTTCAACAACGGGTCCATGATCGACCTGCGTCAGGCACCACGTGGGCGCCGCAGGGTGGGCCCGACGCAGCCTGAAAGCGCGAACCAAAGGCAAGATCGAAGCGCCAAGGGAAGAGCGAGGCCGAAGCAGCCGAGCGAGGACCGATGATACGAGAGCAAGGAGGATCCAGATTTCTGTACGTTTTTGGCCCTTGTCGGGCCTCCGGAGGCCTCTGGGAACCTGGGAAGCCCTCTGGAGAACTCTGGAGGCAGCCTGGCGCCGAGCTTCTACACCTAGCACAAGAGATGCTCCGTCGAATTTTCCGGTTCCGCCTCTCCCCGCTCCTGAGCTGGGATGAGGAGGAGGAAAAGCAGAGCCTCTGTCGCACTGCCAAACAGGGCGGGGCCCATCAAATGCCAAGGACGAGCCTATCGACCAAGGTAACGGACAGGGTGTGCTTTCGAAAGGATATGAATTGCATGCCCATGGCCACGACGAAGACCGCAAGCATGAACGCTCTTGCCAAGACACGCAGGTGCTGGTAGGCAAGCAAATGTATCGGCGTGCGTGATTGTATACTTGTGCGCATCTGTTGGGCGATTATGCGTGTTTGTGTGAATATTCGTGCGCCCGCTTGTGAATACTTGCTGTGCTCGCTCGTGCGAAGCGGGCGATCGGGCATTCAAGCAAGCGAACGGGTGGACCCCAACGGGCGGACCAGGCGAGACGGAAGCTAAAGCGCGGTGGTCGGGGTCGGATGGACAGACCCGGATGGGCGGGACAGGCGGCCAGACCCTAACGGGCAGGTCGGGCGGGCGAGACAGTAAAGGGGGCGGCGAGGAAGTCCGAGGCGAAAGCGCGAATCATTACTTGCGGGAGCGCGGTGCGCACACACACACATCCTCAGGACGTCCCACGCCGAAACGCAAATCTTGCAAAACTTCTACAAAGGTCTCCCAGGCGAGTCCGCGATTCGCGAATAAATCGAAAGGCGGTCCTAGGCGCGAGCGTGATTCCTGAAAGACGACAGCGCGATTCCTTATTACATTGTGAGGAACTCCCGAGCGAACGCGCGATTCTGAAGAAATCTTAACCGAAAGTCCGATTCATGAACAACTTGTAGGGAAGTCTCGGGCGGGAGCCGTTGCTGTGGTCGGTACATTTCTGAACAGGAAGACCTCCCCCTGACCCCCCCAAAAAACCAGTGCGACAGCCCAAAAGGGCCTTCAATTGAGACAAATAACGGGCACCGCGAAGTGGGGATCCACAGTGGTCTATCATTTCTTAGCGAGGGCAAATAATTATTTCACTGATCGCCTTCATGTCCTCCCGTGCCGATCAACATGTATACAACAAGCCCTTGACTCCCACCCTCTTCGTCCATGAACGCTCCCCATTTGGCGGGGGATTGTTTCATACCAGCTCCTGACAAACACCCTGACAGGGCGAGGAGACTCCTGAACACACTGTAGAAAAGTCCTGGGCGAAGGCGTGATTCCTGAAAGGCGGGAGCACGATTCTTGCGCAAGCTGTGAGGAGGCATCTGGCGAGAACGCGATTCTTGACTAACTTGTGTAAAGAAGTCTTGACCGATGTCGCGGTTCCTAAATTGTAAAGAAGGCTCAGGCGGAAGCCCCTGCTGTGGTAGTCGGGACACGTTGCGCAGGAAGACTCTACTACCCGACAACAGCGAGAGCGCGTTTCACGGGCGGTCGCCTTGGGAACATTCGGCGCCGTCGACCAGAATAGGGGGACTCCCCTCCCCCCTATACCCCCCCACTCCCGAACCCCCCCCTGGATGGGGGGGTCCAAACCGCCCCCTTCTCCTGCGTCAGCGCCGGCGCCGGCGCTGGCGGCCGCCAGCAACGCCGACGGCGGGGACGCAGCGACGATGACCAGAGGCAGCCCAGGGGCCCCCCCCGCCCCGCGCTGGCGCTGGCGGCGGCCAGCAGCGCCGACGGCGGGGACGCAGCGACGATTACCAGAGAGGGCCCAAAGGCAGCAGAGGGAACACACAAATCGCCATATCGAGCCCTCGCCCCCCAGAAGCCACCGAGAGGCCCTTCGGAAGGTCAACGAGGCTTCACACATGCTCCTCAGACGCACCCGAGACCCTTCTGACAAGACCTTAATAAAAGGCCTCCATTAGAACTCTGACCCAAAGCCAAAACACGGTGACGGGAAAAGCCGAAGGCCACACCACCACCACCACCACAAACCACAACACCACCACCACAACCACCACCACCACAGCCCACCACCACCACAACCACCACCATCACCACAAACCATTACACAACCACCACCAAAAACACCACCACCACCAGCACCACCACAACCACCAACAAAA